GTCTTTTATTGACCCTACTCCTCCTTCCCCATCACTGGTCACTGCTCTTGACTCGAAGGACAACAGGTACAGAACTGCAAGGAATCATCCCCAGCTCTGTGATCACCAGATCCACAAGCTCTGCGGGGGTCACATCGTAGACCAGATTCAACAACCGTAGGGATGGGTAGTTCTGCCAGTTAGCCAGGGCCACAGGTTCTCCCCGTTCACACAGCAGATCATCAGGATCATCTTGCTCATTAGAGACAAAGGCATCAGTCTGCACAAGCTCACAGAACTTGTTGTATGTTTCACAGTAGAACAGCACTGGAACATTATGGGCTCGAGCCACCCGGGCCAGCTGTGCTGTCCCTACCTGTGACATCACAGACCTATTGGCCAGGAGTGCATGAGCTCCCAATAGCACCTTAGAAACCTTTGGGGGCACATAGGAAGCTGCAGAAATCAGCAGATAGGAGGCAGGGACCCCAGCATGGACCAGATAATGCAGTGTGTGCCTTCCCTCCAGCTGTGGCTGGCTATCCGCTACTACCCGAAACCGCTGGCCCTCAGCCCAGGCTTCCTGAAGAATTTGTGACACGAGAGTTGAGCACCCATACACCAGGATCACATCTCCATTACTGATCTTATTGTAAGCAAAGCGTGAAATTGCCTGAGCTGCAAGGAGAATCTTCTTGTGCACATACAGATCAATGACTTTTCCAAGTTCTGACTTGGCCTCCTCTTTCCGCTTGGAGCTACTCACACCCATGATCTCCTTGTTAAGGAACTTGATGGCGTTATACATGCTCGCTGACAGGGGACAGCAGTTAGTCAGGAAGCTGATACAGGGTTTTAGTTTATTCACTAGATCCCTTGAGAGTTCTTCATTGGGAGGTGTTGTGTAATCCTGAATCACCTGCTTGAAGGCATGAAGTAGGGCAATACACCGTGCATTGGAGCCACTGACCAGGCCCTGGGAGTACTTCAGGCCGAGTTGCACCATGGCTGGGTGGGATGCTCATATACTGGGTCAGAGAGTCAACACTTTAGATCCATAATCCTTCCGTGTAGGAGCCTGTTGGCGCTCTGGTTTCTTAAGAAGTTTTCTCAGAAGTGTAGGGTCATCGACTTGAGTATGCTCAGGGAGATGCTTCATTCCTGCTGAGGGGGTTTCTCCAGCTATGCTGGGGTAGGCCTGAGGAAGTGGTAATCCTGGTTCCCCTTTCCTTGCCTGTTTTAGGGCTCGTTCTGCCTCCTGCTTGGCTCTCCGCTCAGCACGAAGTTCAGCTTTACTTCGTCCAGTTGGAAATTTTCTCCCCAGGAGTTCCTATCTGATGGGGGGACCCTGGTAGTTCTCCAGTTGGACCTTGACATTGGGCAGCAGATCGAGTCAATGCAGTTTCTGATTCTGTCCCCTTTTTCCTCCTTCCGTTTTTTCTTTTGCTGTTTCTTTTCCTTCCGAAGCGAAGCAGCAGCTTCTCTTCTTGGGTCATCTCCCTCCCCTCTGCCCCAGGCCTAGAAGAAATCTCTGCCTTCATCCCAGATTCCGAGTCTGCATCAGAAAACAAGGCACAAAGTGAGCAGGAAAGGCTCCGGGAGGATTTGGGAAGATTTGGCGTAGCCGGCTTTTGGGTCGGCATGACCACTGCTCCTCTGCCAGGCTGGAGGATAGCCAGTGATCCGCGTGGGGACGCGGTGCGTGGCAGGATCAAAGGAAAGGCCGGTCAACTCTATTTTGAGGGGATAGCTTTTTCCCAGTTGTGTTTTGATTGCTTTCCAACCTGAGGAACTTGTTCGTTTTCAGGCACTATATCTGGCCATGTTCCGTTACTATTCATAATGTTTTCATCTTCTAGCGCTGTATCTGACAACGTTCGATGGCTATTCTTAAGGTTTTGAGTGACTAACCATTCAGTAGTAGTCCGCCTCTCCTTATCCCTAGTCTGTCTTACTCTGGAAGTTCCACTGACAACTGTCTACAACAGGTCATCCTGCTGGTATTGAAACTAGCAGTGACATACCATCAAGCATCACAGCAATAAGAAAGCCATCACCCTATGACAAAACGGACAGACCAGTAGTGTATGTGAACTCCATACTCAATTTTAATTTA